ATATAAGTTGTACCTAGAACGGTACAAGATGATATCAGTGCAAGCCCAGGATCAGAACCATGGCAACTGTCAAGTGAATCCTTAGGTATTTAAGAAATACTAAGGATGGATTCCTCAAGAATGAGGAAGAATTAGAGTAACGTAATGGAAGCGTAAATGTATTAGATTATGAATCTAATCCATCATAGAATATCTCTTCATTATGAATGAAGTGATAATGAGATATCTCTTTATTATGACTAAAGAGATATTTGGGTGGAAACGTTAAAAGTAATGACTTTAATGTGTTCCATCATGTATGCAAAATATATTGCCATATAGAAGCTTACAACATTGTTGCTTGGATGGGAAAGTTCATTTATGAACTCTCCATTCGGTTCCAACCAGAAAGTGTATGACACTAATGGGGCGATAGCTCAAGCCAGGGAATCAAGGTCTCATCAAGGTCCGAACTCAAATGAGAGACTGAACCACATGATTGAGAATCATGTATAATGGTGATGTCGTTATTCTCAAGGTTGCTTCTATGGATAACATATAGATATCCATTGTTTAGGCCTACTACTCAGCCATTTATGAAATGAATTACAGAAGAGGTATCATCAATGATGACTAAGCTGATTGGTTCTAGTGCAAGTGGGAGATTGTTGGAAATGTGCCCTAAAACCAATCATATGATGATACTTTACGGACATTTCAAACTAATGTAGTTTAAATGTAAAGGGCAAACATTATTGTTTGAGCCGTCTCATATAAATGTTATATGCTTAAACGATAAGTCCAAGGAATATGTGATTGGAAGAATGCGATCTAAAGAAGTTAGATTCATGAGACCATTCTTTCGTAGACACATCCTAAACGTTCCTGATCATAGGATTGCCAATTGGGCATTGACAGTCCGTTAAGATCAGTACGTGCTATGTCTTCTCTCAGGGAGAGTGACTAGTCTCGAGTCATTGGTGTGTGTGACATCAAGACAAGTACGTAGATGCTCAATAGAGAATGAGTTCACTGAACACGATCAACGAAGAGTTCTCATATTCATGTCACATGAGAACTCATGGTTGGGATAATGCAAATTAGTCTTTTGACCTGAGGCATCACAGTTGTCTTGTGGTTAGGTCCTTAATCTTTGATTATGTCAAAGTCACTCCATCAGGAGGGTGTCCACGACATTGTTGGGGTTAAGCCACTTAGCCATGGAGGCAAGTGAATGCGCAACAAGGGATCTCTAACCTTCAAACTGTTTGAGGGAGAATACTCTATGATATGATTAAGAATCTTTGGCCAAAGTATGAATGAGATTTAGGAATGTGTTCCAAATCACATTCAAGGTAATCATATAAGCACAAGACTCACATTGGATAGTAGACATGAATAAACTATCAAACCAAACAATGTGGTCAAGAGTATTGTATCAGAGAAAGACCGTATTGCATTTGTAATCCTAAAACTGAATAGGTTCTCCACCTCTTCTGATTAGCTTGGGTAACCATGACATGCTGCTAGGCGTCAACCATGGTTTGTGGAAGCCCTAAAAGTGTATTATCACTAACGGGAGAATTGAAAGTAAGTTTCAATTCACAATCGATTAGAAAGAGTTTTAATCGCCCACTGCCTCGCTAAAAGGAACCTAATGGATTGTTCACTGAGTAAGGTAGAGTTTGAAGAAACAACGGAGATGAGTAAGAATAATTAAATGGTTTAATTATTTATCTAAGGCTAGGATTAATTAATATGTTAATTAATCAAACGAATAAGTTCGTTAAAGACCTCGGGTTAGTTTTGGGCCGCAAGGCCCAATGGGATTTGAATGTCAAGCCCATTAACTCAAGTTGTATGACAATTTGAATAAACAAAGGGCTTGAAAGCCCAATAAACCCTATAGGCCGGCCATGTTAGAAGAATAGGGCTTTTGGTCCATTAGGTCACTTATTTGAAGGGACTATATAAAGGACTTTATAGCCTAAAATTCATTAAGGGTTGTTTTTGGGGAAAGGATGAGAACACAAGCTCTCCTTTCTCTCTAAAATTTCGGCCACCTTGGAGGGATGATCTAGCAATCAAACTCCTCCAAGGTCACTCATTTCTTCTTCATTATGCCTTGGTGATGAATCATTAGAGGTTCTCAATTTTGGGAACTTTGGAGAAACCTTTTTCATCCATCCAAATCCATAGATCTAAGATGCAAGGAATGAAGACCCTCACTTTGGGTGATTAGCCTTTGTTTAAGTACAAAGAGGAATCTACAAAGGTATATATTTCAACTCACTTTGTTTTGAGTTGATTATTGGTTCACCATTTTACTAGGCTTTGAACATTCATGGGTAATGTTTTGTTTTTAAGTGCATGCTAGCATGATTCCGCCTTTAATTTGTTAATTGCATGCTAATGATGTTGCTTAAATGAACATGTCATCTTCCAAAATAATCCTTCAAGGTTCACATCTAATTCAACCGAAAAGGCGTATAGGACAAAGCTCAAGGAAATTGGGGGACAATGTTTGAGCCTAAATTAACATTTTAGGCCGAATTAAGTCTCGGCAATCTCAACCTAATAGTGTTAAAGTAGCCAAGTCATAAACAAAGTAGGATTGTCTAAGAACTAGAGTGTGGCCAAGTCCCAAATAAAGTGTGACTATTTGAATATCAGGTATGGTGTTTTAATAGAAGCTCGAACTGATCAGGATTGGTTTTGGATGGTATATGAAATGATCCTCAAATGAGTTTAGGTTTAGAATCCTAGTTCAAGATAAGGAAGGTGAGACTCCGCAATAAAATTTCGGCTGAGAATAATTTCGAGTATATTCAGAGAATATGCCTAGGAAATGGAATATTATCATAATTTTATCAATCAACAGGCTTGGGCACCAAGAAATGTATACTATAAATACAGTAGGGTGTTCAATGTAGAAACCTCATTCGACACAACAAACAACTTAAACGCTCTACGGGAAAATCCTTGCTTTATGTGAAACCTTCTCACACTTTTTGAGAAAACACTAACTATTCACCTCCCATCAATACATATTCAGTTTGGACTAACAACACTGAAGTTGTAGAATCAAGTGATCAATGAGCATCTTCAGTTTGAATTAACATCATTACTTCTGGTTGGTTGGTTGGTTATTTATCCAAGTCTCAGGCGATAAAGAGTTTCTTACTTTTTCATAGAAATAGGCCATTCCATTAGCTTCCCAGCGAGTTGAAGTGTTCTTTGATAATTTATTCTTAAGTACATTTGAGTTTGGCATTTAGACCACTGAACCACATCCACCATAAAAATGTTTATCTTCGTTGTGTACTTGTGTCCCTATAGGCTAATACTGATTTGACGCACCTATATTCTTACGAATCTAGTTGAGGCAGCCGAACCTGGAGCAGGAGATCCTAAACTTTGTAGTGATCTAGGCAACCTTGTCTTTAAGTTCTAGAACCCAAGGCCGAGACGTATTCCTTCCCCGATCGTAATCACTACAGTACAGAAATCAGCAGCTCATTCAACACCACCATCAAATCTATTCTACTCGCCTAACCGAGCTCGGTTACAATTTGGCACGTCCACATTCACAGGACAAACATAGTTAGCTCATAGTTACTCGATATGCGCTTTGTTATTTTTAGGGTCAACAATATTGTTGAAGTTATTTTAATCGATATCGCTCTTCCTTAAATTAATAATGAGGGAGGAAATGAGGTAAATTTTAAAAAAAAAATGATCTCTTGACAACGTCCACGTAAGCTCTATATATGTAAGGAGCACCCCAAAATGGTGAAACATTCAAAATACCATAAATTGCCCCTCAAGAAGAGTGCTGCTAGATCCACTTCATTGTCCTATTTTCCCACCCACATTATAATTTCACCCACCATAAAAAGTTAAAAAATTGAAACACTATTTCTCCACCTAGTATTATACCTAAAATAACCTCAACTATACATTTAAATTCTTTTTAATTTGTAGTAGAATAAATATTAGCTAATAAGCCCAGCGACATTGTTTTGCAAACCCAGCAAAAGATACGAAGAGCTTCCTCCCGGCGATCTTGTTTTGCAAACCCAATGATGATGTTGGTCCATGAGACAGTGCTTCTTCTTGGCATCTGCTTGAATAACTTATAGGCGTTATCAATTAAACCGCATCTGGCATATATGTGTATGAGTACTCCCCAACTCACAACACTCCTTCCACGCATACCACCAAACACCCAGCGTGCATACAAATTAACCGAACTGGTCTGAACAAACACATTGGACCCAAACCCTCCCGTGCACATGTTCCCCTTCTCTCACCAACCTCAACCTTCCACTTATACATACGTATAGGTACAACCCATCAGCCTCCGCTTTCGAACACACTAGTCGTTCATACAATTTAACAGATTTTCGTGGTGTGGCCTATGATCATCTGCCTTCACACATAGTACCGGGTTTTCGACATTTTCAAAAACTTTGCGGGCATGATCAACACCCAAAAGCAACTTAGAATGATAAAATCCGAACAAGAATGTAGGTTTTTTGTGAGAGTCCATGAATTGTTATTTTTGGTGTGAATTAAGGGTGTACTTGGAGATCAATGGAAGCAAGTACTTTTTGGTTTTAGTCCTTACTAGAAAGTACTACCCGCACGTTGCTGCGGGATTGGAAAATGCATGAAAGATTATGTTAAAAATATAAAAAAGGTTGTGTTGTAGTAAATTGTTTCAATTTAGGTACAATGAATTGAAACCTTGAACAATCATACCCAATGTTGTGAATAAAGGTTTGTCCGGAGTAACAATGATTTTGTACCTGCATTGCGGTTCCTGCTAGAATAAGAACAAATTTACAAAATGATTTGCTTTTCAATCCAACATCATCCAAAACTATGAAATAACAGATTATATACGAAGATTAAAAAAAATAAAAAGAATTCACAGATTCAACTTTCACAACATATAAAACACGACTTTCACAATATTCAAATAAAAAAAAAATTGTTGGAGAAAAGGCTGAAAGGAAAAATCCAAAATTATTTACCTTGAGCATAAAGGGCTTCGAAAATTGTAGATAAAAGCCCCAAAAAATGAAGAGCAAAGTGTTCCGAAACAAAAAACAAAAGCAAATCATACAACCAAATGATCTTACGATATAAACAAAATATCCAAAATTATAAAAACAAAATTACAAAAAACAAAGAACAACGTGTTCTGAAATGAAAAACAGAAGCAAATCATATATAGCCAAAATTACAATGAATGATTTCATATTTTCTAGATAAATCGTATTCCCTTTCGTTATGTATGATAAACATTGAAAGTTATAGCATGCCAATTCCACAGATGCCAATTGCACATTGAAAGTTTGTATAGCTTTATTTTACAGAATACCAAGAGCCAAACCTGCAGAGCCACTGAACATGCACCATGGTTGAAGTTCTTAATAGCAATCTTTTCATCGCTTGGTAGCTCATATACCATGACATCGCCCATGTTTGTTCCAACTGAAATCATAAAATCGCTTATTACTAAAAGAGAAGCTATAATCCAACATTTGAAGCAATGACATAAAAAAGACATACAAATACAATAATTCACAATGAGTGGAATTGGAGGTCAGCTCTCTAGAGCTTACCAAGAAGTAAAATCTGTTGCACTGGGTGGAAATCCATACTCTTGACAGTTGAACCCGGACATAAAGTCATAACAACAGACCTGGGCAAGTCGTCAGAAGAGTAGGAACTCTGACCATGGCTCTGATTAGGATACGCAACAGGCAGCATATTTACTGGCAGATTATTGGCCTGTTAAAAATTGAGTTAACATAGAATCAATTACAAAAACTAAGAAGTTGAAACTTGAATTTTTTTTCTGTAAAATAAAGCTATACAAACTTTTGGCATCAAAGTTGCACATTGCTCATAAAAAAATAAAAAATAAATAGAAAAAAAAGGAACAGCAGGACCATTTGCATCATGTTTATAAGAAATAAAAATTGCTTTTAATTCTGTTAAGCATCCTTCCTCATCAGCCATGTTCAAGTATTTTGCATAATCTAAACTTACCTTTTTGTTACTGGCCTTTTAGGAAATAATTTCGCTACCTACCTTTTATGGAACAATACATTAAGGATATGAAATACATTTATTTCTGTAAAACTGAAATAATTCAATATTACACGGTCAAAAGAATATATGTCATAAGAAAGAAAAACTTCAAATTTAGCAATGTAACTCGGACTTCCATCAGATAAATCAGAATATGCAAAAATTAACGGATAGATTTATACCTCATATGTTATCCCGAAAGGTCTTGATCTCTTCAGAATGTGCTCAGAATCAGCCGTTTGATAGTCCATAGTTGGGTTACTGGTTGGAGGAGTCATGGGCACTTGATTGCAGCTATATGATAAGCTTTCTGCAGCTTCCTCTTGGGTGCCTAAAATTCAATTCAAGTTTAGACTTTGTACAAAACTGCATTAATTAGCTTCGCAAGAAAGATAAAAACTTTGCAGTAAAAATATAGCCTTTAATAAGTGATTTTAGATGGAAAGTCATTTTCTAACACAGCCCTTAAAAAGTTCATTGTTACAGTTAAGAGCAGACATTTCATTAGCCTTATAAAAAGTCTGAGAACAGAGTTGCTTTAAAAATAAGTCCTTTTGAAGAAGTGCTTAACCAAAGAGCCTCAAGGAATTTAGAAAATGCGACCAAAGTACCATACAAAACTTGATCTAAGGCAAGCGTAGCAAAAAATTGATCATAATTTTCGAAACGACATAAAAACTAACACTATTTTGTTGACAAATTTGTACGTAACACCTCAAGAATATTAAGATTATATGGTATGGAGTTGGACATGGCGAAAAATATAAAACTTACAGCAGAAAGATGCTTGGAAGCATCAACTATGAGAACTGGTCTGCCGTTAACATAAAGAAAGTCATGTACATTAGCTTTTCCAGTTTCGGCTATACCCTGCACTCAATCACAGTATTAGGGAACTACCAAAAATGAAACTTTAATCATAATTATATTGTATTTACAGCTTTTCAAGAAGATTTGTTAGCATGCTTTTACCTAATATTTGGAATGTAATTTCACACTTGTTTTCAAAAGCCTTCTAATAAGCCACTTTTTGTTCTATTGCAGTAATGTGTCCAATAACATCGTGTAATCTCAAAGAAGCTTATGATAATTAATATAATAAAACCTAAACAAAATACCAAACTCAACTCCGATATAATGAAGAGAACCGAAACAAAATACCAAACTCAACTCCGATATAATGAAGAGAACCGAAACAAAATACCAAACTCAACTCCAAAATAATGAAAAACTAAACAAAACTCTCCATTCAATAACCCTAGAAATTGAAATCGCTCACCTTGAGTACACAGGGCTTTGCAGCCTGGAAACAAAAGCCTCAAAATCCAAAAAACCACCATCTCCTGAAACCAAACCGTATTTAAAACAAACATTTCAAAGTAGAGGGAGGACATGCATGAGAAGAAGTCACCTTGCAAGCAGAGACTAAATGGTTTTTGTCCTTTTGATCACCCAAGTTGTTATTCGACTCAAGAAATCATGAAACCAACCACGCAATTAAATTAAGACCACAATGCACTAAATGACATTTACAACCACAATGCACAAAAACTAAAAACGAATTGAAAATGCTAAATAAATGTAAGTATTCATATCTAAATTTAATTTTGACAGATAATTTTCTTGCTGAAAAACTTTGATCTGCAAAACCAAACAACATTTTTCAACAAAAAAGAACTAATTTAACAAAGCAAATACAGTATACAAAAACAGCTATTCAATTTAGCTTCATTTAGAATACAGGAAATCCATTCAAAACGACCAAAAGGATAAAAATACAGAAGAACCAACCTTTTTGAAAGATCACTGGTTCCATCGTACGTTCAATAACTTTATCATGAACCAAATTATCTGAAATACAAACAAACTCCATTATCTAAATCAGAAGAAAACCAATACAGATTAACAGAGAAAAACACATTCACACACATGCATAATACAATACATACATACACAATACATAATTAAATGACATACCTTGATGGTCTGCGGACCTGCGACCTTGTTTCAAGAAGAGCAGAAGGGAACAATTTTAATGATGAGGCAGTACAAACTTCTGAGTGGGAACTGAAATTAGAAAAATGTAAATTTCAAACCATTTATAAGTCCCAAATCACAAAAGCCCCAAATTTAAACAAATTAAAAACACCCGGATGTACAACCCGAAGAACTCACCCAAAAGCCCTAGCTTTTCTGCCTAAAAAATTCCTTTAAATCAAACCGAAAAACTGAAGATGGTTACCTGAATTCAATAAAAATTAAAATATAATGAATTTACTCTTAACCATGGTTTTTTTAAGAATCATAAAAATCTAAAAATATCCCAAACGATCCCAAATTTTGGAACTGCTTTAAACCAACCTGCCATGAAATTATAGCCGCTTGAGAAATCTTCTTCAAATCAGACCGGAAGAGGCAGCACGGGCAGTTGGTTTCTGCTGTGCCTCTAATGTTGCTTCAGCCTTCTCCCTTGCTTCTTCACATGTTTCCATCCCTGAATTGCACTTGTCTGCTTCCCTTTGACACTGGGATGCAATCTTCTTAGCCTCCAGCAGAGCCATATGAGCTCGTTGCTGATTTTCCAAAGCTTCAACTTCCCGAAGCTTCAACTCCTCAGTCAAAAAATGCACAAATTCTTTAAACCAAAGGAGAATTCCAGAGATCCACCCGAGAGAAGCAGAAGAAGAGTGCCCCCCGTTCCCTTCCTTTCTATCATGGCGACACGTGCACAGAAGGGTAAATCCGTGATTTTACTATATAATACATAAAAGAGTCGAGAATTGTTAGCAAATGAAGGGTAATCACGTCAAAACACTATTAATGAATAGTACCATTCGGTTTGGATTTTAGTATATATTAGAAATAGTGCTTGTGCGTTGCTGTGAAATTACAAAATGTGTGAGCATAATATATACAGATATTTAAAGAATGACGGAGTTTGAATCAAGGGTGGATAAGGGCTTGTGAAAATGATGGCATTCAGACAAAACTCTGTATGAAAGTAAAGGAATAGAAAAAGAGAAATATGACACATACCATTTGTTTGGTGTTAACCAATGTGATTCAAATGTATCCATTACGACGATAGAAATTGAGGATCAGAAAGAATTCGACAAAATCACATATTTGAAATCAAAAATCAAAGCTGCCTAAATACCAAACTATTCATTAAAAATACTGAAAACTTAAAAATTAGATAAGTACATCAGTGAGTTTTGTAAGATCATCTATGTTGAAAACGTTTCAAACTAAATTTATTAAAGTAACTGATATCTTGTGATAGAGCATGAGAAAAACAATAAATACAAATTGGATATAATAAGGTACAATTGTTTGGTGACGTAAGAAAAAGTATTGGTTGATTCTAAAGAAAGTGAAATATGTTAAAATTAAAGTAATTGAAAAGGAAGTGTCATTGAATGAAACTGAAAATGTGGTAAAGTTATTAGATTTTTGAGTTCAAAATTTGATGTCATTGTTTAGGTATTTTGGTGTAAATGGCAAAATTCAATCAAACAGGTTTAAAAGTGACATGATACGTAAAAAAAGATGGATCAGATATATCTAGTTCGGTGGCTCTTAATTAAAACAAACAATATCATAGTTCACCAATGTGACAGAGATGCTTTGTGTGTGCAAGATTAGGAATGTGTGTAGACGTACTTACGCTACCAAAAAATCTAAGCAGAATTGATGACTGACTTTAACAACTAAAATCAGATACAACTTTTCAAAAATAAATCAAGGCCATGGGCACAGTTTGTCAATGAAATGATTTTAAGTTATACGTTTACAAGTAGGAGATAACAGATATTTGTATTGCATATCCTAGCAGAATAAGTGAATCTCAAGGAGAATTAGATTTATTCAATTTCGATAAAAAGAAAATGAATTAATGCAAAAACAACATTTGTGCACATTACAAAATCAAAATCAAGCAAAATCCACAAAACTAAGCCAAATGTAATCTGTAAAGATTTGGCATAACACAGTTTAATTCTGATAAATGCAAAATGATCACAAATAACTCACTCAAAAATAGGAAAGCAAAATGACCTAAAAACAACAAAATCAAAACCTCAAAATCAGAACAAAAATCGCAAACCACATAAGCAAAATGATTGAAAATAAAAAATCAACATGCATTAAAGCCAACAATGATCGGCAAAAGCATGGAAATCAATTAGGAAAAAAGGTTTTTATTTCGAAACTCACCAATTTGATCCTCTCAGCAACGACGAATTGGAATCGGCAACGTGGAAACACCGAATTTTGATAATTTAATCTCCAGGGCAGCAACCCAAGGAGCAGAACCAAGCCTCAGAAAATTGACTTCAGCTGGTTTCTATCCTTTGACACACCCGGACAAAGCCAGAATCAGAGAGGCAACACAAATTGAGAGACAGCAGTGGAATGGAAAACAAAAATCCACAGGATAAACTCGAAATAGAGAGTTGATCGACGATGGTTTCTATGGCTTGACAGGCACGGAGCAAGCCGTAATCGGTGAGGCACCACAAAGTGAGATAGACAAAGGGTAAGCTCGAGAAGAACAGAAGAGATCTAGATCTGTGAGAAAGCTGAGAAAAACCGAGAAGACTCAGTCCAAATAGAGCATGCATCGGTGACAGACGTGTGGAAGTAATGGCCAAAACCGGCAATTTGCTGTGGCAAAACCTGAAGAGAAGAGAAAACGGAGACAAAATAAAGGGCATTTCCGTCCTTTTTCTATTTCTGAACAGTGCTAAGACTCAACTGAGTTTTAGTTTATAGGGAAAATTTGAAATAGGTCCAATTTTTAGTGACTTTTGAATTTTGAAATAGGTCCAATTTTTAGTGACTTTTGACTTTTGAAATAGATCTAATTTTTAGTTACTTTGGACCCATTTCAAAAAACCCCTAGTTTATATAATGTAAATATAAATATGTCATTTTATAAGAAGGTAAAAAGGGCATCAAATTTTTTATTAAAATATGGGTGAGGGGAGAAGACAGTGGAATGAAATTATTAGCTCTCCTCAAGAATTTTAAAACTACAATTGAATTACAAGGAGTTATAATAATTCAACAAATATTAAATTTGAATGAAATTAAAATTTTAAACTTTAGAAAGAAAAAAATTAACAAAACCCCACATTAATGGGTGGTTTATGTTTAACTTCTAATTTATTCAAGAAAAAAAAATTTCTATTTTTTTTTCAATTTTTTTTTAATATATATATATATATATATATATATATAGAAAACACTTGAATTTCTTAGGGGGTGTAGTCAAAACTAAGATTTTAAAGGATTTTAAAAGTGACAGATTTGATAGGATTTAAGAGGATTAAAGACTCCTACAAAATTCATATGGATTTTAAAGAATTTGAATGGATTGTGGTGGATTGTGGTGGATTGTTTTGGGTGGATTTGAAATTCTAGGGGTGAGGTTGGATTCTTTTGAGTCTTGATTATATATATTTTTTGCTCTCAAATTCTACAAAATCCACAACTTATTGAAATCCTCCAAAATCTTAATTTTTTTAATACACTTAGGTTTGGATGGATTTTAAAATCCTTTAAAATCTTTTAATTAACTACACCTAGATTTGAATGGATTCTAAAATCTTTTAATTTACTACACCTAGATTTGAATATATTCTAAAATCTTTTAAAATCTTTAATTGACTACACTAGGATTTTAAAGTCTTTTAAAATCCTCTCAAATCCGAGTTTAACTACATCCTCTAATTTATTTTGTAAAAAATCATAAATAAAAAAAATTAATTTAACATTCAAAGGCGAAGGGGCTAGTATATTATTTATTGGTTTGTTTGTTTGTTTGTTTTTTTTTTAATTTTTACTTGTTTTATTTTTTTAATTTTTATTAAATTATTTTAAAAAATAATAAACTTACAAAACCACCCAGTCCCACTACGCGGGTGTTTTGTTCTTTTGAAATCCTAATGGGAGAAAGACAATTTTGAGGTTATGAAAACTTCATTATTTCGCCTTCTCCCTATTTATATCACTTTAAATAAACATTAGAGAAATTGGATAAAATGCATTAGAATTCAAATATCAGAAGAGTTGCTACGTAAACTACGTCAACATCCCTTTCACATTTCTTCTCAGCCTAGATGTTCCTCCTTTCCCTCCAAATTCACCTTATTTTTTTCTAATTCGACATCTAGTAACATGGCTCCGAATAATTGGATGAAATTGGTTCAAATATAATTTAGGGGTAAATTAGCTATTTCCAAACAGTTTAAGTGCTAAATTTGGAGATTTATAAAATAATGAAAATATGGTGATAGTTCAAGATGGTAAGAAAATATTTTTGCTCACCTCCTAAAGTGGGGATGAGGTTCACCCTCCATTGGTTATTGTGAGGTTAGTTTTAACTTTGAAATTTGTGTCTTAAATGAATTAAATCAAACTAATCTAACGATAAATAATATAGGGTGAGCATTGCCTCCACGGTTGGGGATGAGCAAAATGTGTTGAGAAGTCAACGATATCGTTCCTGATATCTTGGCTTAGTTTTAGGAAACTATTTTGTAAATTATTTGTAATTGATTTGTGAATATTTGTAATCCTAGAATGTAGGCTAGGTTACTTCCTCGGTAAGGACTCTCATTGTATAAAGTCTCTTAGTATCAAATGAAGAAATTAACTTCTGCAAATATTCTTTGCACGATTCTTTACAAAATGCACTCAAGAGGACAAATTGCAGTTTAACAAAGTAAACAAAGAAAAGAAACATACCGATACCGCTTTAGTTGTAAAAATGTAAATGTCAAAATTCAACATTATATCTTGGAGAAAAGTAATAGGGCTTAGGTACCGCATGACTTGTTGGCCTTAGACTCTTAATATGCATTTGCTTCAGGTCCATAAGACTAGTTTCCCCGTAAGATTGACGGACTAACATGTTTGCATTAGTGTCAATTCCACTTCCACTAGCTTTTTCTTCAGACTCATCACCTGATCCACTTGCTTCTTCTTCAGACTCATCACCTGATCCATTGGTTTTGGGCTCATTGGCTTCAAAATTATCATGGTGTCTTTCTTCTTCTTCTTCTTCTTTTGGTTCCCCTGGCACGATGACCAATGCCGTCTCAATGCAAGATGAGGCCTAAGACGAAAATGAAATGAGGCCTTCCAAATGTAGTACTTTAATATAATTTCTTTTAATAAACTAGGAAAACTAGGAGAATAAGGAAACTTTTGCTTTTTTCTTCTCTTTTTTCGAGTATACGATGAAGATGCAATTTTAAATATATATGTAAAAAAACATGAGGCCTATTTCAAAGTGAGAGGTCCAAGGAACAGGCCTTACTCTCTTTGCCTCAGTGCTGCCGCTGACAATGACAAGACCACATTTGAATCTCTCAGCATCTTCGACATACAATGGGTATATCCCACACTTCTCCACCTTCATGTAGGAAGTGGGTTCGCCGGAATCCTCATCCACCAGGCAGAATTCAACAGAGGCTTCATTGGCAAGGTTGCAAAAGTCAGGGGAGCATTTTTTTGCTACCTCTTCACTTTTAAAGGCCTCATTCCATAGGTACACGTGACGTTGGTCGTAACAGTAGTCATTCAATTTCCAACTGGCTTGTCTGATATCGAGTTCACTAGTGAACATTTCGTGGCTTTCACCCTTGAATTTGACGTTGAAACTAGCTCTTACCATCCAGTTCAGCTGGCAGTTCAACTCCCAAGAAACAACAACAGCGAGCGCGAAACCCAATAAACCTGTTCGAAACCAATCTTGACGAAGCTCGATGATTACCGAAGATTCCTCACTTCGATAGCTGAACCAATTTGGAATTTTTTTTCCCGGACATACAATGCTAACCAAAGGCCAATAACTGTAATACTCCTGTAATATTTATGGGAATTACATTATTTAAATTTATGGGAGCTGTCAGCTGCTCCAACATTAATTTGGTGAGAGCACAGAAACATATATTCAATTCAACAACACAAGTGAGAAAGAAAAAGGGAGACATACATGGTCGTGGTCTTCATCAGCATCTTCTTCTTCATCTTCTTCTTCTTCTTCTTCTTCTTCTTCTCCTCTTAACTTTGACGATGCAATTGCCACTTGCATAATTCTAAGCTGTGCATCATCCATTATGTTGCTCCTTGCATTTTGATCCAAATTTCGGCAATTAGAAAAATCAAGTTCTCCAAAATATTCATATTTATCCCAACCTTGTGTGTAGTGTGTGGTCCTTGAACTTGACACCGTCTTCAGTGACGTGCAGCCATGTGCTTGAAGTAAACGTACTACTGGGAGCTCTGGTAAAGATTGAAGCCACTTGCAGCCAATTAAGCAGAGTGTAGACAACTGAGAAGCTTGTTTGATGCACGCAGGTAAGCTCCTAATCATGCTTCTACTCAGATCTAAATCTCGCAATGAGGTTGTGCAAACGAAGCCATCGGGGATTCCTAATATACTGCTGCGACTGAGATTTAGTACTTCCAAAGAGAGCAAACCGACAGAGTTGGAAGGCAATTTTTTAAGTTTCCGACAGGCATAAAAGCTGAGAATTTTAAGATTGGTCAAATTGTAGATACTTCTTGAGACTACTTTAAGGTTCTTGCACATACCAAGATCTAATCTCTCAAGCCCAACTAGATTTCCAACAGACGAAGGAAGCTTTTCGACCGCTGTGCCTTCCAAACTAAGAAAGTTCAGATGTTCCATTGGCTCCAAGATTTGAGGGAATTTGTAAAATATTGAGCACCATTTGAGGTCAAGACTCTCAAGATATTTCAACTTACAAATGCTCTTTGGGATACTTAAAAGCCTTCTGCAACCGTTCAATTTAATTCTTTTCAGCGCAGGGAGAAACTTGATTGACGAGTGTAGCTCTTGAACAGCTGTTTTATTTAAAATAAGAGACTCCAAATGTTCGATTGGGTCCACAATCTCTGGGAAGGATTCAAGTTTAGAGCACCTAGACAGATCGAGTTCCTTGAGAGATTTCAACTTGCAAATGTTCGTAACACTGAAGAGACTCGTGCAGCTTCCAACATCAAGATAAGTAAGCTTGTCAAGATGTTGAAAATATGAAGGAATTTCAACCAAACTTTCACAGCCACGAAGATTTATTTGCCCAATTTTTGGACTCCCAGAGAGATTTGGAACTTTAGTTAGATCGCTAGAGTACTGTAGATTGATGACTTCTAAGTTCACAAGTCCCTGTAACACAATTAAAGATAACTAATAAGCGTGATTTTCTACAATGCAATTTATACAAGAACTAAAATAAACATACATACCTTGTCTTCTTTCCAAAGCTGCTTAACCAGGCTATCGGGCATATGAAGCTCAACTAGTTTTTCAGGAGAAAAATTTGACGGCAAATATTTCAATGGATATCGATTCCAGTAAAGATAACGAAGAGAATTGGGAAGATCTAGAGAAGTGGTTAATGTGCTGTTGTTTCCAAAATGTTCAGAATAAACCACAATTAGCATTATTAGGTTAGGCATCACTTTGAAGTCTGCATGTTTCAATGGTCGCTTTTCAATTTGCCAACATTTAATCAATATGGCTTGAACAATTGGAGTTCCCTGACAGTAAGAGCAAAGTTTAAATGTGAATATATATACAACAAAAATCAATCAAATTAAACTTTCAGGAATCTGACTTTTTTTGCTATGAATGAGTTATTTGGTGTTTTATCAAATAGAGTTCACTATTTATTTTTAGTAGAAAAAGAAAAGAAAGAAATTGAATGTAGTTGGCTCTTACCGAGTTACTTTCCAGTAAATGGTAAACATCCTCATCGTTGAACAACCTATTACGTTTACCAGGATCTTCAATACATTGTTCGTGAACAATTGTGTAACCCATTTCTTGAATCAAATCATGCATCTCTATGATTTCCTGTGCTGAGTCAATTGATATGAGAGACATGTCAATGAGAACTCTAATTCCGGCTGCCGCAAAGAATCCACGAATGCCTAACATTTTTTTTACATACTTCACATTCTTCCCTTTATGAAAACAAGCTATATCTAAAAATATCTCCTTTTCATTTCTTCCCAATCGATCATAACTTAGTCGCAACACTCTCTGGATATTTTCATTGGGAAATTGTTTCAACTTGTTCAATTCATCTTCCCATTCTTCTTTGCTCTTGCAATTTAGGAGTGAGGACCCCAGAGTTATAAGAGCTAAAGGAACACCTCCAGCATAACCCACCGCCTTTTCTGCCAACTCCTTATAATCTATTGTAGGAGTATTCTTGAAAGCACGTGAATGAAATAGCTGAAGAGCGTCATCTGGTTTTAATCCCTCGACCTCGTAGATCTTATCCTCTTCAACAGTTTGTCGAAGTGTGCTCTTATCTCTACTTGTGATAATTATTCTACTTGCAGTGCCATACAGAAGACAATTGCTAGCTAAACGTTCCATTTGCATTGAATCACTCGCATCATCAAGAACAATGAGGACCTTTGTACGACTAAGCCTTTCTCGAACAAAAGTTGATCCTATGGACAGACCTTCCTCCTTTAGTATCTCTTTAAGAAGTGTTTTTTCCAAGTGATCTAGTCCATGTGGTTGTTCTGAGTTCTCCCTGACATTTCTAAGAAAACAACAGGCTTCAAATTTAGAAGAGAGTCTATGAAATACAGCTTCAGCAAGAGTGGTCTTGCCAATACCAGCCATACCCCAAATACCTATAGTGATGCAAGCGTCCTGTGAATGAATGCCTAATAGTGATTCAATTTGCTCGATGCGGCTTTCAATTCCAACCAAACCCTCTAAATTGCATGATGATTCACATTTCAATCTGGTCCAAATGTGATCAACGACTTTCTTAATTAGATCTGCTTCCGTCTCCGTTCTGGCATATTTAAGTATGATTATGTACGAAAGCAAAAATTAGTCTTAAATATGCCTTATCAAATCTTGGCACAAATCAAATTGTCACAAGTTTAAACAAAATTATTATTTTATACAGAGTAGTGTTATTCATACCATGTTTTTATATCACATTTCTATATCACCTTAAGTGGCATTTGATGTGGACAACCACATCATTTGAAAAATTTGCAAAACCCAAGGAAAATAAGGAGAAAAACTCCTCGTATACAACAATTATTATTTAATTAAATAGTTTTTTTTTTCTTAATTATTAGTTTATTAAATAATGAACTAAATTTAAAAATCTGATTAATTCAAATGATGTGGATGTCCACATCAAATGCCACCTAAAATGGTATGAAAATGTGGTACAAAAATATAGCATGAATAACATTACTCTTTTATACAAGTTAAATAAATAGTTACCTTAATTTTTCTGAATAAGGAAACCCAGACAGACTGGCTGCAGTGGTCAAAGCATCCCTCCACTTTTGCACCTCATCGATTCTGTCGTTGAAACGTTTTTCAAGTTGAGCAAATGCACGTGCATAATTCCCGCGCTGTCGTCGTACATCAGATGGATTGATGTCATAGAATATGGGTATAACTATCTGGCCAGATTTTTCCTTGCATTTGAGTACATGCACAAGTTCCTTCAGACACCACGTGGAAGAAGCATAGTCTTGTGAGAAAATGATCACCGAAAGAGTGGATTTCTCGATTGCCTCTAGAAGGGCAGGTTCGATTTCTTCTCCTCTCTGGAGGTTGCAATCCATGTAGGTTTCAATTTTCCTCTGAACTAAGGCAGCATGAAGATGGCTAGTAATATTAAAGCGGGTGTCCTCACCTCTGAAACTGATGAACACATCATACTTTTCCTGGCGAGGGGGGTTATCAGCATGAATATCATCATCAGCCGCAGCAGCACCAACACTAGCAGCACCAGCAGAAGACGGAGAAGAAAATCTTAACGATCTGCAGCACATGTGCAAGAGAGGCATGATACACTCCATCGCTCTCTATCTGTCTGTCTCTGTCTCTCTGTCTCTCTGTCTTTCTCTCTGTCTGTCTGGCTGTCTGTCTCTTTGTCTCTGTCTCCCTCTGTGCACTAAGCATAGACAGAGAGAGCTAGAAGTTGGGAAGCAAGCAAGGGAGGAGAGAGCAGTTGCCCGCAGAGACTAGATCAGTTTTGAGTTCAGCAATTGTACTTTTTTGAGGTCGGCAATTGTACTTTTTGACTTGACGTGCACAGAGTACCGAAAGTTCGGAGTACTCTATACGGAATCTCCAAGAAAATCATCAAAGAATGATGACAAACAACAGTAGAAATGAAGCCCGAGTCAAGCACCTTCCGCGAACAAAAATTCAAAACGTTCACACAAATGAAGAAAGACAAATAAAGGGCACATCATCATCAGTTCATATATTTCATTAAAGCCGACGACTCACGCAACTCTTCAATTAAAGATAGACGCAAACCAAAACATTTGAAATGAACGAGCGAACCTTGAGATAGAAAACGTACACCTCCCAAATTGGCTTTGGTGAACTAGAGTTATTAGAAAAACATGTGGTTGATTTGCCCTTATAATTAGAACATTTCTCTTCAACTCACTGTGTGTCATGTTCAAATCCTCTCCTCTTCCCTTAGCATAGATTGGTGTAAAATATTGGTTATAATTAAATTTAAAAAAAAAAAAAAAAAAAAAAAGCAAGCTCTTTCCCATTCAATTGACGTGTTTACACCTTTTACGTTCAAAATTTTGAATTTTCTCAGTTAGTGACCAATTTCTTTTAAAAATTTCCAAGCACTTTCGACTGAGTATCTTTTTATAATTCCTAAAAAAAGAAGAAAAACAAGTAAATTTCACACTACAAAATCATTGAGGACTAAGAATATAGTCGTATACTACTGAAGATTGCTTGAGATTTAAAATTTGTTTTTCAGATGTTATAGAGGAGGTCATAAGAGAGCCCATAACTTAGCCTAAAAGTGAGCAAGATCATGTCATCCTTACGAGAATAACTTCCACGCCATCATGTGTCCCATGCCAAATTAATTCATATATATATATATGAAGACATTATATCATATACATACAAATATATATATATATATATATATATATATATATGAAAACGGGCTCATACAAGACACCAATGTGATAATGTGCATGTGCTATGAAAGTGCTCATCGGTGGAGAATCTCTTAACAAAACATGTGACCCCTTGTATTTTTTGTCTCACCCTAATTTGAGAGTTGCCCAAGAATTAAGATGGGACAATTAGTTAGCGTATTAAACAATACAATCAGTTTGACAAACTCACATGTCCATATCGAAAAGGAACCAACTGTAGTAAAATTAATGAGGTTCCAATCCTAGTTTATAGGACCTGGATTAAAGTTAGCTGCAATATATAGGTCAGAAGCTAGCTATCTAGGACACGTTGTACTTCACTAAGGATTTGGAACATGCCAACCCCCGTTATGAAAAGCTTAACTGAAAAAAAAAAAAAAGAAAAAAAAAAAAAAGGCGACTGCATATTATGACGTTGGATCTCTCCCGCTTGAGGAGACCACGGGCAGCAGCACCTGTTCTATGTGCAACGGAGGTTACCAACCAGGCCATGTGCCTTCTTATAAATCATTGATCGTATATGTTTTTTTATTTGGAAAGTGTTACTGACACTTCAAAAATCTCATTCTACACTCCTCACAAATGTAATTTTTCTTTTCAAATATAGAAAGTTTGGAGTGTAGAATGTGATTTTTGAAGTGCCAATAACAATTCCTTTTTTTTTAAAAGAAAACCAATGACAAGGGTTTCAAAACTTTAAATCTTAACAAAAAACCATGTAATAACTTTATTTAATGATTAAGACAAAATCTAACAATAAATCAATCCAATTTAAATAGCACAAATATTGAGTTTCCAATTTTGCCCATGATTGCAAGCTTTTGTCCGTTTAATATATTTCTTTTTATGGATGTCCTATTTTGTCTACTTTCCCCATATCTTCCTGACATTCGAAACCTTTCAATTTTTTTTTTTAATTTCACATCGCAGCTCCATCTCTGTAATCATGCAAAATTCACATATCAGATCCCCAAACTTCATTTTGAGTTGTCTCTATCTCGGCGGCGAGGCAGTACGGAGTGACCAATATTGACTGTCGAGCCAACGAAAGTTGATATTCAGGGGACATTCTGGATTCATCTAGGGCTCGTGGACATCTTCCACCACAAAATTCAAAAATTCGAGGAATTCGTGGACAAACACCTCAAACCAGATCTCGTTTGCGCCATTGCAAAACAGTACTGTTTCGTAGACCCTCACCCAACTACTTTATCGAAGCCATTTTCTGTGGTTTTCTTTGCCGACATTACCAAGCTCCAATTGCAGCAAATTTAATTGCTCATCAAATTTAATTGTATTATGTTTTTTTTTTGGGGAGTGATTCTTGTTTTGCAAAGATAAGGTGTTCGAGCAACACAAATTTTTGTATCCTTTTCTATTTTCCCTCTTTTGTTATGATTAATTAAAGTTTACCAGCGTGTGATTTTTTTTTTTTTTAATTCGGCAATTGGGAAATGCAATCCCATTTGGTGATGTTTGGTTGTTGAAGGTGTTTTCTTGACTTTTATTTAAATTAAAGCTCGGATTTGCATAAGAACATGTAGAATTTGGAGAAAATAGTGTGACCAGTCTTAGGACTTTGGTTAATCTTGGCTCTCAAGTTCGTGTAAGAGTATAACTTGAATTCATTAAATCATTCAATGTTCTTGTTTTATGACTATGGTTGAAAAAGATGTGGTATATGGACCTGAAAGTTGTAGACTATGTAGTCCTTTGATCTTGAAAATTGTAGTTGTACACCCATGGATGTATTTCATATGGATCAATTATACTTCCATTGACACGGCTAAACATAATCTCGCTTTTCACATTCGGTAAAATTGAATGATGGAATAATCACTATATTGTCTTTATCTTGACACACACATGGGATGATTACATGATCACCATATTAAGATGCTTGTAAAATGATAGAGATCGAAAAAAATAATTCTCATGGTCCTGCCGAACATTGCTTGTTTATATGGGGTTTTCACATTTTTTTTGTCTGCTACATCACGTGTAATGTAACATACCTTTTCAAAAAGGATGAGAAGCATCTCTATATTTAAAGCCAAACCTAAAGTGAATAGTGTTTTTGGAATCACAAGCTTCACCAAAAAGAAGTGGACAAAAATGCCCCTAAAACCAAAAAGTTCAAAAGCAACCCAAAATAATGCATCAAATGTGGTAGGGATATTTTCATCATTTTAACAGTGTTTTTTTAATGATTAATTTTTTTTGTATAGTTTTTTCTTTCAAATAATTAGTACCTCACAATAGGCTAGCAATAATGTGATTCAATTAGTTGTTCATTAAATATTATTTTTTCTATTTTAAAACACGTTCAAAACATCTTAAAAGGCTACAATGTCGATTATAAGAAAGGTCTTTCACATGCAGATAATAATGTGATTAAATTAGTTGTCAAATGATTGTTTTTTTAACAAACGATATTATCTACACTAAGGGGGACGGGGGTGGGCTTAACCTCACAATGGGTTAATAATAATATGATTCAGTCAGTTGTTTATTAAATATTATTTTCTCTATTCTGTATAATTAGTACGTCAAAATAAGCTAGTAATAATGTAATTCAATCAGTTGTTCATTAAATATTATTTTCTCTATTTTTAAACACGTTCAAAACATCTTAAGAGGTTGTAATGCCGGTTATAAAAAAATGTCTTTCACACGCGAATAATAATGTGATTAAATTAGTTTTCAAATGATTGTTTTTTTTTTTGAACAGATGATATTATCTACACTAAGGGGGAGGGTGGTGGGCTTAGCCTCACAATGGAATAGCAATAATGTGATTCAATCATTTTTTTTATTTTGAACAAACGATATTATCTACACTAAGGGGAGGGAGTGGGTTTAGCCTCACAATAGGCTAACAATAATGTGATTCAATAAGCTATGTATTAAATATTTTTTTCTCTATTCTTACTATAAATTCAATAGAGACCGATTTTATTATATGAATTTAGCTACTTTAATTGATTTATGAGGGATTTCTTCTAGCATGATCTAATATCAAGTTCTAAAAAACGCTAGGCGTTAGTCGGGTGGCGGGCAGAGGCCTAGCGCCTAGGCGGATTTATGGAAATTTATTATATATCTTGTAAATAAGTGTCTATTTACACCTAAAAAAAACTATATTTCTATAGATAATAAAAGAATGATAAAATACAAAAATAAAAGTAGCAAACTACACAAAGTATATACATCCAAAAAGACCTTAAATGTGTAGTTATTTACAAAGAAAACCCTAACCTAAAGATGATAAAAGATTCGACAACAACTTCTAGATATTTTGTTTAATTTATTATATATATTCTCAATCCATTATTTTATTAAACAAGTATTTTTCTTTATGCATTGAATCATTTCTTACACCTAACTTTCATCTTCTTTTTCTTTATGCCGTCAATTCCAAAGTCTTCATCTCTTATCTTCACTTCTCCATCAAACTCCAGATCCCTTGGTTTAAACAACCCAGTTACCCTCTTCCTACGGTGTCGTCGTGTTATCGAGCAAACAAGCCTTCATCTTCATCAAATCGCAGATCCCAACCAACCCAACCCAAAAATCAACTGAATTTTGTGGGTCAATGTAGTGGTCATCCCTAACGGCTTTCTCTTTTCTTTCAACAACAAAATTGCAGATCTCTCTCTCCTTCCTCAACAGATCACAGTACAAAGAGTTTTTTTTTTTTGGTTACAAAACCAAGAGGTTGCTGAGGTCGCATTGCCCACCCAACAGCCGCCTAGACACCGATTAATAGCCCTTCCAATTTGTTGAACAATTTCATAATAATCGTGGCGGAGGCCGACCGTCCAGTGCCTAGCCCGCATTTTAGAACACTTTCTAAGATTATTCATTCACTTCAAATATTTGATTTTTTTTTTTGTCATTTTACACATATAAATACATTTAAAACGTGTAAGTCACGCATAGCATGCCGTGATTTAAAAAAAAAACCTTATGCATGATCATGAACGTGTGCATGAAGGCTAATGAATCATAAACTAAACAC